ATTAACATTCATAAATCAAATGCGTTCCTATACATCAGTGATGAATACACTGAAAGAGAAATTACGAAAACTACCCCATTCACAATAGCTTAAAAAAATACCTGGGATTCAATCTCACTAAAGAGCTGAAAGACATTTACAATGAAAATTATAGGACACTAAAGAAAGAAGTTGAAAAAGATTTTAGAAGATGGAAAGATCTCCCATGTTCTTGGATACGCAGAATTAACATTGTTAAAATGGCCATACTACCAGAAGTGTTAAACAGATTTAATGCAATTCCTATTAAAAGTCCAATGCTATTCTTCACAGAAATAGAAAAAGCAATCATGAAATTGATTTGGAAAAATAAGAGACCCAGAACAGCCAAAGCAATCCTTAGTGAGAAGAGTGAAGCAGAAGGCAGCATAATACCAGATCTTAAATTATATTACAGAGCAATTGTAACAAAAATGGCATGGCATTGGCACCAAAACAGATATGTAGACCAATGGTAGAGAATAGAAGACACAGAGACAAACCCACATAAATACAGTTATCTCGTACTAGACATAGGCACCAAAAACATATTTTGGAGAAAAGATAGCCTCTTCAACAAATGGTGCTGGGAAATCTGGAGATCCATCTGTAATAAAATGAAATTAAATGCCTATCTCTCACCCTGAACAAAACTTAACTCAAGTTGAACAAGGACTTAGGCACTAGAACAGAGACCATGGGCCTAATAGTAGAAAAAGTAGGCCAAAATCTCCACCATACTGTGTTAGGAACTGACTTCCTTAATAAGACTCCTAAAGTGCAAGAACTAAAATCAAGAGTCAATAAATGGGATGTCATCAAATTAAAAAGTTTCTACATAGCAAATGAAACAATCAGTAACATGAAAAGAGAGCCTGCAGAATGTGAGAACATCTTTACCGTATGCACCTCAGACAGAATATCAATCTCCAGGATATATAAAGAACTCAAAACTTAACAACAAAACAAAACACACAACAAATAATCCAATCAACAGATACTGATCTAAGGAACAGAACAGACACTTCACAGAAGAACAAATACAGCTGATCAACAAATATATGAAAAAATGTTCAACATCTCTAGCAATCAGAGAAATGCAAATCAAAACTACACTGATATTCCATCTCACTCTAGTCATAGTGGCAACTATCAAGAATATAACCAACAATAAATATTGGCAAGAATGTGAGGGAAAAGGAACACTCTTACTTTACTGGTGGGACTGCAAATTGGTTCAACCAATATGGAAACAGTATGGAGATACTTCAGAAAACTCAGAATGGAACCACCATTTCACCCAGGTATCTCACTCCTTGATCTATATACCCAAAGGATTTAAAATCCGCATACTACAGTAACACAGCCACATCAATATTTATAGCAGCTCAATTCACAACAGCTAAACTGTGGAACCAACCTAGATGCCCTTCAACAAATGAATGGATAAAGAAACTGTGGTGTGTGTACACACACACACACACACACACATACACATATTGGACTATTACCCAGCCTTCAAGAAGAATAAAATTATGGCATTTGCAGGTAAATGGATAGAGCTTGAGAACATCATGCTAAGTGAAATAGGCCAATCCCAAAGAATCAAAGGCTGAATGTTTTCTCTTATATGTGGATGCTAATTCACAATAAGGGGGTGGGGTAACTGGGGAAGAGCAGAGATAGTTTGGATTAGATATAGGGGAATGAAGAGAGGGGAGAGAGTATAGGGGTAGAAAGGATAGTAGGATGAATTGGACATTATTATCCTATGTGCATATATGATTACATGACCAGTATAACTCTACAACCAGAAGAATGAGAAGTTATACTCCATTTATGTATGATGTATCAAAATGTATTCTAGCCATGTATAGCTAATTTGAACAAATAAAAAAGTTTGAATTTAAAACAAAATTTAAAAATTCATTAAAAAGAAAAAAGACTCATATTTCTGGGGAAGAATAATTATTATGAATGACCTTATCTTTAGTATTTGCTTTTCCAAATCATCTAAAATGAAGTGTATGACTCTTATGATTAAGGAGGAAAATATTCTCTGAGATGTTACTTAGACGTATCAAAAATATTTAAGAAATATAAGTATCAACCAAAGAAACTATACATAAATATATCTAACAGAGCTTAAAAGTACCTAAGTGAATTCTATCTGATGGTAAATTTAGAAAGATTCCTTTAGAGTGTGCTTTATTAGATAGACTTTGAATTACTACTGTCTGATGAAAGAAATGTGTCAATTGATTATGCATCATAACTTTTGCATGTAAAATACATAAAAGATTATAATACAAAACCAATATTTCTGTGAATATGCAATTTACTTCCTCTTACACCTTTTCCCCAAGCATTTCTGACCCCAGAGTTCATTAACAAGTCAATGTTTGCATATGTATGGGGAGTTACAAGAAATACAAATGAGCACCCAGCACCATAGCTAAAACTTAGGAACTTTAACCTTTGCTTGTAAAATGTGACTAATAAGGAGTGGTAAATCATCTTCCTAGAGAAATAAACCATGTGTTAGTTATAAAAGTGTGTCAAAAGGTTTGTGTTACAGCCTTACTTCCCTTCTAATTTCTGATGCCTTGTGTTTACTGTTCTATATTTATTTTCCAATTTTTAAAAATGAAATTGTTATTTTTAAGTAGCAGAATTGTTAGAGGCTCAATATAATGCTTCAAATATTTGAGAAAAACATAAAGATTAAAAAGCACTCCAAATCCCACATCCCAGAGATGGGTATTAATCTTTTGGTGGAACCCTTCTGGATCTTCTCTCAGGTATATCTTTACATACGTAAAGAGGTATTCCATATAGATGTAGAATTTATAAAAGGAATTGTAACATTTTGTAGTGTTCTATAACCTGAAAGACACTTATGTTATTTCTAAGCTTTTAATTTTGCAAATGGTGCCATAATGTACATACTTGTACACATATCTTCACAGACAGACTTACTGTACTTTTAAAAATATCTGAAGGCTTTTGGAAATTCTAAAAATTATTTATTCCAGAAATGTTCAAAAAAGTATAATGTATAAAAACAAAATCTTAATAATATGAATCCTATCAGTGTGCTTCCCTCACTTAACCTATATCTTCCACAGTCATCATGTATTATACAGCAGCTTCTTCCTTCTAGCTCTTCTGGAGAAAAGCCCTGGAATCATCTTTGGTTTCTCACTTCTTTTAAAAACCTTTGTCTTATTGATTAGCAGAGTCTATTAGTCCTCCTTAAAAGGATACAACCAATTCTCATCAGCTTCACCCATATTAATCTGGATCAAACACCATCATTTCTTGCCTAGTCTAAGAGCATTGAAGGTATGAAAATTTCATTGATATAGCTTCAGATTCCACATTGCAGGTAAACTTCAAGAAATAAAACTCATCAAGTTTTTGGGTAGTATCAAAGAAGAATATTCACAATTTTCTGAAAAGGCTATGAAAATATTCTTTGCTTTTACAATTATGTATTGCTGTGAGGCCAAGTTTTCTTCATATACTTCAAGTAAAATAACATCTTGTAATAGAACTTTGTATTGACAAGAGGAGGTAAATCAATCGGCTGACTTTTATTAAAGTTATCTGCAAAGAATAAAACAATTCCATAATTCTCACTAATTTTTTTGTTGCCTACAAACACAGTTATTTTTAATGAAAAATCACATTTATGTTAACATATGATGAACCTAATTGTTATCTTCAAGTGAAGGAATAAATAATCTCAAATTTCTCAGTTTCAACTACTACGGGAAATACTGATAGGTATAACTAACAACCACAAGTGAGCCAATGCTCTAATGGATTCCTTTTCATTCAAAGTAAACTCTAAAATCCCTATTGTGGTTCATAAACTCCCTATGTGATCTGCATTTCTGACCCCTGAGTTCATTAACAAGTCAATGTTTGCATATGTATGGGGAGTTATAAGAAATACAAATGAGCACCCAGCACTATAGCTAAAACTTAGGAACTTTAACCTTTGCTTGTAAAATGGAGAAAAGCCCTGGAATCATCTTTGATTCCATTTCCTCTACAATCTGTACTCCTAATACTCTCAGACCTCATTTTTAACCATTTTTCTCTCTCTTTTTACAGTGGTCTCTCTGATGTTCCTTGAATATACCAAGTAACTTCTACACAAGAGACTTGGCACTTGATTCTCCCAGTGTTTGTAATACAGCTTTCCAGAAGCCCCAGGGCTCTCTCTCTTCCTTTAATTCTTATCTTAAATGTCATCTTACTAGTGAGCCAGTCCTTACATATCACATGAAAAAAACAGTACAAAATGGAACTCTCCATCTTCTTCTATATTCTCTTCACTGTGAGATAGAGATACACATACATATACATCACCTATCTATCTAAAACTCTTTCTCCATATACATATGTAAATTTTTTTTTCTTGTGCTACTGGGCATTGAACCCAAGGCCCCAAGCATGTTAGATAAGTTCTTTATCACTGAGCTACTAAAGTTTCTTGGGCCGGCCTTCAACTTGTGATCTTCCTGCCTCAACCTCCTGAGTTGTTAGGATTGTAGGCATATACCACTGTGCCCATCTTGACTTACATTTTTAATGGCCAGTCTTCTCCATCTTGAGTGAAAATCTATAGGAAAAGAGACTCTTCTGTTTTGTAAATTATGATATGCTCAATGCATAGAAAAGTTCTTGCCTTTAACAGATTACAGCTGAATGGATGTTGGAAACTGTTATCTTAATGTACTTCTATCTGCTTTACCTTTGAAAATTCTTGATTTGATTCACCATGTGTTTTTCAACAATGTTAATGTATTTCTATCTGCTTTACCTTTGAAAATTCTTGATTTGATTCACCACCATGTGTTTTTCAACAATGTTAAGTAAACATTTTTAAACACAAGCACATTTTATCATAAAATAGGCAAAAAAGGGCAGAAATGATAGAAGAAAATGTAGATATTAAATGACATTCATACCTGACATACTCTGAGAGCTTGGTCCAAGACTGTTTTGGTGTCAGTGTCATAATCTGGGCAGGGCAGCATGGCTCGACTGAGGTGCGCCTGAAGCAGGAGATGGGCTTTGGTGTGAGGGCTGTCAAATGAATGGGGATTTAATTCAACAGGAAGACATTTTGCCAATTCACTGTTCATATGATCTTCATTGTGTCTTACTGGCAAATCTGTGTATTCTTCTGCATCCTGTAAAGCAAAACAAACAAATCCATATACATACACACAAACACTCATGCACATACATATATATATGTCTCTTGTATCAACATTATAATAATTAATGCACTCCTCAGCTTTACCTACTTTTAAACATGGTTTAAAGAAACCATAAATAACCATATCCTTTAGAATTATGCTTTGTTCATTACTATAATAAATATAAAGCAAAAGCTAGTAATGTACAATATTTCTGAACTTCAGGAGTGCTCTTTTGTATTTAACAGTTAACAAAAATAATAGAGGACTTACTAGGCATTACACATTATAATTATGGTGAGGTCATAGCCATGAACAAGAAACCGTGAACCCATCAGGGAAAACAGGCAAACAACTTCTAAAAAGTATAATGAATATTATGATATGCTACATTCAGAGTGCTGAAAGGACATTCAGTTTGGGGAATCTACTTATTTTAGAGGGTCAGGAAAAGTTTTTGTTTTTTTTTTAAAGCGATGTGTAAGTTAAGATCTGGAGAATAAGTGGAAGAAATAGGGTAAGGCATGGCTGAAGAAAAAGACAAAATTAAAATTGGTAAGTTGAGGAAAGGGTGGAAAGTATGTTCATTAACTTAAAATTTATTGTATCTATTGGATTACAATCCAGTTTTTCTTGAAAAAATATTATGCTTACACTGCTCTACTTTATTAGTGTGTGAAAGAAAAGTCTTATTCTTCCAAATATGTAGTTGAGATTCAGCCTGCTGCTGTTGATATGAAAGTCCTACATCTACAATAACATTAATTGGATGTGTTAATGTATATAATTCTTTGGTATAATTGCAATTATAATGTATATAATTCTTTGAATGATTAATAGGGACAGGATTTACTCTTCCCTAGCAACTGCATCCCCTCTATACACAAACAAAAGAAAACATAAAACATATGAAACAGTGACCTTCAAGGCATTGAAGATAGGGGTAGCTATGCAAAACAGTAGCCCTTGAGATAGAGAAAACAAACTAGGTAAGCTCTAATATTGCCCCAGAATACTACATGGAGATTTTCTAGGAAATGGTGCACAGAAGAGGAATCCAAAAGAATTTGGAGGACTCCCCAAATTAAAGAGATGAAGCTGAATGTCCAAGTGGATAAAGTATGCATTACAGTGTACTAAAGGAGAGGGAGAGGGAGTGGTCTTAGCTGGCAAGGGAGAAGAGAGGAAATGAATGTGCACATAAATGCCAAAGATCTGCAGGGGGTCAACCATACATTTTTATTCAGAGGTGTACTAAACAGTGAAAAAAAACACACAAAGCTAGAAAAAGAATCATGCAAACCAATTACAGGGAACAGTGTCCAGCACTCAGTGTCATGAATAATGCCTGTTCCCACCACACTGACCAAAGACACTCATAATTCACAGGGTATGAGGTGGAGATGATCTTGCCTAAGGACTGGGGAATAATTAGCTCTACAATGATTACTACTTGGGACTTACCTAACAAATTATAAGAGCAAGAGCTAAAGGATCAAATGCTTCCAAGAAATTTAACTACATTCCAGAATAAAGCTCAGGATAATTTATAGGAATACAGACACACACACTTCACTCAAGAAGGTGAAATTTACAATGTATGGCATCCAATTAATGGTTACCAGCGATGCAAAAAAGCAGGACAACAGGATCAGTAGTGAGGAGAATAATCAATCAATGGAAACTAACCTAGAACTGGCACAGATCTTAGAATTAGCAGTCAAGGACACTGAACTGTTATGCCAACTGTATTCTATATATTCAAGAGACAACTACTCAAACTTCAATATCTCGAAATAAAAACTATAATATTTGAAATGAAAAAATGCCCTGTACTTTATTAATGGATGAATACACATTAAAGAAGAAAACAGTGAACTTAAAGACATCAAAAGAAACTATTAAAAGTGAAACAGAGAGAAAAAAGAATTAAAAAAATAAACAGCATTATGAGGAGTGAGACAACTGCAAGTGTCCTAATGCATATTATGGGAAGAAATGCACACACAAAACAGAAGTAATGGCTGGATAGTTTCCAGTTCAATGAAAACTATGAAATAATAGACTCAATAAGTTCAATGAACCCCAATCAACAACAAATGAAGAAAACTATAGTAATTAAAATTCATCACAATTGAATTATTGAAAATGATAAAGAGAAAACATAAAAAGAAGTCAAAGGAAAAGCTACATTATATACAGATAACAGCATATTTATACAGATAATTTATACATTATATACAGATAACACAAATAACAGCAGATTTCTCATTGGAACAATACAATAAGGCAACAGTGGAGAATGACTAAAAGGAGAAGGAAGAAAAAAAAAAAAAAACCCTGTCAGTCTAGAATGCTATATCAAGAGAAATAAATCCTTCAAAAATGAAGCTGGGCATGGAAGCTGATGTCTGTAGTCCCAGTCACTTGGGTGGCCAAGGCAGGAGGGATGCTTGAGCTCAAGAATTCAAGGCTAGACTGGAAAACAAAGCGAAACCCTGTTTGTCAAAAAAGAAGCATTTTTAAACATACAAAAGCCGAAATAATTTAAAAAGAAACTGTTCAGGCAGAAAATAAATTATACCAAATGAAAATATGGAGCTTCATAAACAAATGAAGAACACTAAAAACAGTAATTGTGTAGACAAATATATAAAAAAATTGTTCTTCACGTTGGTCTACTGTGATTTTGTGTGCTCGGTGTCCTGTATGCATCTACAATTTGTATATCCGTTTCCTTTTTTATTTCTGGAAAGTTTTCTGTAATTATTTCTTTCAGCAGGTTACTCATTCCCTTGGTTTGAATCTCTGTACCTTCTTCTATCCCGATGACTCGAAGGTTTGGTTTCTTTATGTTATCCCATATCTCTTGGATGTTTTTCTCATGGTTTTTAACCAGCCTTTCTGAGTTGGCTAGGCTCTTTTCAAGACGATATATTTTGTCTTCATTATCTGATGTTCTGGCTTCTACTTGCTCCACTCTGTTAGTGATACTCTCAATTGAGTTTTTAATTTGGTTTATCGTTTCCTTCATTTCTAGAATTATTGTTTGGTTTTTTTTTATAATCTCAATCTCCTGATAAAGATGCTTAACTTCTTCTTTTATCTGTCTATGTAATTCATTTTCAAAGTGTTCTTTCACTGTTTGGATTCGCTGTCTCGTATCTTCTTTAAGGTTCCATTCCATCTGTCTAAGGTATTCCTTGAGTTCTTTATATGACCATTTTTCTGCTGACTCTAGGTCCTCCTGAATATTTACACCACAACACAATAATTATGGGTGACTTCAACACACCTCTCTCACAATTGGACAGATCCTCCAAACAAAAGCTGAATAAAGAAACTATAGAACTCAATATCACAATCAACAACCTAGACTTAACTGACATATATAGAATATATCAACCATCATCAAGTGGATATACTTTTTTCTCAGCAGCACATGGATCCTCCTCAAAAATAGACCATATATTATGCCATAGGGCAACCCTCAGTAAATATACAGGGGTGGAGATAATACCATGCATTTTATCTGATCATAATGGAATGAAACTGGAAATCAATGATAAAAGACGGAAGGAAAAATCCTACATCACATGGAAAATGAACAATATGTTACTGAATGATCAATGGGTTACAGAAGACATAAAGGAAGAAATCAAAAAATTCTTAGAGATAAATGAAAATACAGACACAACATATCGGAATCTATGGGACACAATGAAAGCAGTTTTAAGAGGGAAATTCATCGCTTGGAGGTCATTCCTCAAAAAAAGGAAAAAACAACAAATAAATGAGCTCACACTTCATCTCAAAGCCCTAGAAAAGGAAGAGCAAAACAACAGCAAATGTAGCAGAAGGCAAGAAATAATTAAAATCAGAGCGGAAATCAACGAAATTGAAACAAAAGAAACTATTGAAAAAATTAACAAAACTAAAAGTTGGTTCTTTGAAAAAATAAATAAGATCGACAGACCCTTAGCCATGCTAACGAAGAGAAGAAGAGAGAGAACTCAAATCACTAACATACGGGATGAAAAAGGCAATATCACAACAGACACTACAGAAATACAGAAGACAATTAGAAATTATTTTGAAAACCTATATTCCAATAAAATAGAAGATAGTGAAGACATTGATAAATTCCTTAAGTCATATGATTTGCCCAGACTGAGTCAGGAGGATACTCACAACTTAAACAGACCAATAACAATAGATGAAATAGAAGAAGCAATCAAAAGACTTCCAACCAAGAAAAGCCCAGGACCGGATGGGTATACAGCGGAGTTTTACAAAACCTTTAAGGAAGAATTAATACCAATACTTTTCAAGTTATTTCAGGAAATAGAAAAAGAAGGAGCTCTGCCAAATTCATTCTATGAGGCCAACATCACCCTGATTCCGAAACCAGACAAAGACACCTCAAAGAAAGAAAACTACAGACCAATATCTCTGATGAACATAGATGCAAAAATCCTCAATAAAATTCTGGCGAATCGGATACAAAGGCACATCAAAAAAATTGTGCACCATGATCAAGTAGGATTCATCCCTGGGATGCAAGGATGGTTCAATATACGGAAATCAATAAATGTTATTCACCACATCAATAGACTTAAAAATAAGAACCATATGATCATCTCAATAGACGCAGAAAAAGCATTCGACAAAGTACAGAATCCCTTTATGTTCAAAACATTAGTAAAACTAGGGATAACAGGAACTTACCTCGACATTGTAAAAGCTATCTATGCTAAGCCTCAGGCTAGCATCATTCTGAATGGAGAAAAATTGAAGTCATTCCCCCTAAAATCTGGAACAAGACAGGGATGCCCTCTATCACCACTTCTATTCAATATAGTTCTCGAAACACTGGCCAGAGCAATTAGACAGACGAAAGAAATTAAAGGCATAAAAATAGGAAAGGAAGAACTTAAATTATCACTATTTGCAGATGACATGATTCTGTACCTAGAAGACCCAAAAGGGTC